TGGTTTATGTGAACCATACATGTGAACAATGATGGATTTGTCAATATTCTTGAGAGAGAAACAGAATAATTAAGTAATGTCATAGAAAAAAAGTGACTAGCTGGACCAGATAGTTGAGGCGTGTAATTCCAGCAACTCCAGAGGCTGAGGAAGGAAGATTGAAAGTTCAAGGCCAGCCTCAGCAATTTAGTGAGTCCCTAAACAATTCATTGATCCCTGTCTCAAAATAAAATTTAAAAAAGCTGAGGATATAATTCAGTGGTTAAGGGCTGGGGATGTGGCTCAGGCGGTAGCGCGCCCGTCTGGCAGGCGTGCGGCCCGGGTTCGATCCTCAGCACCACATACCAACAAAGATGTTGTGTCTGCCGAGAACTAGAAAATAAATATTAAAAATTCTCTCTCTATCTCTCTCTCTCTCTCTCCCCTCTCTCACTCTCTCTTTAAAAAAATAAAAATAAAAAAAAATAATTCAGTGGTTAAGCACCCCTGGGTTCAATCCCCAGTATCATAAATAAATAAATAGCAAGGCATGGTGGAACATGCCTGTAATCCCAGCAATTCAGGAGGCTGAGACAGGTGGATCACAAGTTCAAGGATAGCTTCAGCAATTTAGTGAGACCCTGTCTAAAAATAAAAAATGAAAAAAGTTTGGCAATGTAGTTCAGTGGTAAAGTGCCCTTGGGGAATTGGTTCAATCCCCAGTACCAATAATAATAATAATGAAAAAATAAAATCAGAAACAGGTGCCAAGTACATGGGGCAATTATGGAATTATCACAGGAAATTATGTCAAAGTGGTTTTCACCTGATGTGGTCCTTATATTTTCTGTTTTGTTTGTTTAAATGTTGGGGATTGAACTCAGGGCTTACATATGCTAGAAAAGCTGTTGGCCAAAGCCACCAAATCTTACTCTATTTTCTAAGAATACTTCCTTAAAAGACTTTTGCTCCCCTTCCATTGTAACCTAGCTTCAACTACATTTTGCTCCATTAAGGATACTCTGGAGAATTGAACAACAGCAGATGAGGTAGAGAGGGAAGATGGGAGGGGAGGGGAGGGGGGATAGTAGGGGATAGGAAAGGTAGCAGAATACAACAGTCACTAATATGCCATTRTGTAAAAATGTGAGTGTGTAACTGATGTGATTCTGCAATTTGTATTTGGGGTAAAAATGGGAGTTCATAACCCAATTGAGTCAAATGTATGAAAGATGATATGTCATGAGCTTTGTAATGTTTTGAACAACCAATAAAAAATAGAAAAAAAATTAAAAATTAAATAATTAAATAAATAAATAAATAAATAAATAAATAAAAGGATACTCTGAAAAGGTTCCCCATCCTGTCTCATGCCCTGAACAGTCTTGCCAGAAAACAGGAAACTTTTTTTCCATCCTGACTTTGATTTTTAAGTTCAAAAGCAATTCCATTGAAGTTTACTTTCTTTTCGCCTTCTCTGAGACAGGGTTTCACTGTGTTACCCAACCTGGCTTCAGTCTCCAGCAAACAAGTGATCTTTTGGCCTTCCTGCCTTAGCCTCTCTAGTAGCTGGGAAAAAGGCATTTGCCTGCACCAGGCTCTGAAGTGTGCTTTTCTTTTGTGTACTGTTCTTTTCATAATCTCTTCAAACAGGAACCATGAGGCAACAGTCGGAGTGGCAGGATCTTGGATGACTTTTTTTTTTTTTTTTTTTTTTTTTTTGGTACCAGGGATTGAACCCAGTGGTTCTTAGCCACTGAACCATATTCCCAGCCAGTTTGTTTTGAATTTGAGACAGGGTCTCACTAAGTTGTTTGGGGCCTCTCTAAATTGCTAAGGCTGACTTTGAACTTGTGATCTTCCTGCTTCAAACTCTCAAATCACTGGGATTATAGACATACCTGAATGACTATTTTAATGACATCTAAAGCCACCAAATTTCACTCTGTTTTCTAAGAATACTTCCTTAAAAATCTTTTGCTCCCCTTCCATTGTAACCTAGCTTCAACTACATTTTGCTCCATTAAGGATACTCTGGAAAGGTTCCCCATCCTGTCTCATGCCCTGAACAGTCTTGCCAGGAAACAGATGACCTGGGTGCATGGGATCCCTGGTGACTCTGCTGGAACAATAGACCTGACTTCAAATGAGCCTACAAGTGTAGCTGCTTGTTGAGGGGTAGGCTGTGAAGTACCTCCGCACATATCCTTGAGACAACAAGAGGAGTATCTCAGCTTTCCATTTCCTTGACTGAAGCTCAGTTATCTTTAGTTGTCTCTCAGCTCAATCATCAGAAAGAAGCAGGGACCTGTTCCTGATCTCACTCTAGAAAAACAGAGTGAGCAAAGAACAGTGGGTATTTTCTACTGACTTATTTGAAGGTAACTTAAGGTCATGTTACCAGAGACTCTGCCTGGATTCCAGCTGGCTGGATTTGGCTGTCTGCCTACATAAGAAATAGGGGAAAGATGGGAAAAAGGAGAAATGAACTTCATGCAGTTTGATCAGCTGGAGAGAAGCAGGTAGACTGCTTCTTTATCAGACATCTTTATCTATTTTGCTCACTAATATACCCCAAATGCCTAGAAGAGTGCTTAGGACATGGTAGACAATCACTATGTATTTGAAAATTTTATATAATGGTAATGATTAGAAATCTCACATGGATTTTTTGAGGATGAATTTAAAATAAAAAATTAATTATCTGGGTGGGGGTATAGCTAAGTGGCAGAGCATGTGTTAGGATCCCGGTTCTATCCCCAGTACTGGAAAAAAAAAAAAAAAAAGAGTCTAAATTATTAACCATATGGGAAAAAAATAGGAATGTCATTAGAATGCCCCCCCCAAAAATGTTTCTATACGTCCAAACAATAAAAATCTGGCAGGATTCAACTGTGGAAAGACATCTAAGAACAAACACAGAAACCAGATAAGATGACCCACGTGGGTGAGAGTCGTTCTTAAGACTCTTCTAACTCATAATTAAGGGAAATAAAGAGGAGGAGGGAGCCAAGCACAATCTTGAGGTGACTGCTGACAGACGGAATGCGAGCAGTCAGGCAGGCCGGCCCTGTTCCACACCCCCCACGCAAACAGAAACAGGCACACTCCTTCCGTTCAGAGAAGTTAGTATAAATAACTGGTTCAAAGAAGCAATGAAGGCGGTGTTCCAGGTGGCCGGCCTTCCCTCCTGCTCCAGAAGTTTCTGTAGGGAGTAGATCTCCTTTCCAACACTGGAGGCCGGGAAAGAGGAATCTCAAATACAGACAGAAACCGTGATCAAAAAAGGTCCAGCCTGCTGCGGTGGGGCGAGCCTGGATCACGAGTTTACAACCAGGCTCAGCAATTTAAAGGAGGCCCTGAGCAACTCAGGGAGACCCTGTTTCTAAATAAAATACAAAAAAGGGCTGAGGATGGGGCTCAGTGATTAAGCACCCCTGGGTTCAATCCTTGGCAAAAAAAAAAAAAAAAAAAAAAAAAATCACAAATCACACAGGGAAATAATGATTTCACTAAAGAGCAGATCCAAATAGATGAGTGATAAGAAAAAAAAAAAAAAAAAAAGCCTGAATATACAAAAAGCACCAATATTGGAAAGGAAAGAGTCAATAATTATAGGTGATAGTAAATTAATAAACAAGTTCACCAGAAAAAAAGATTACTGAAGGATTTAAAATAATGCTTGGTGGGCTGGGGATGTGGCTCAAGGGGTAGCGCGCTAGCCTGGCATGCCTGCGGCCTGGGTTCGATCCTCAGCACCACATACCAACAAAAGATGTTGTGTCTGCCAAGAACTAAAAAATAAATATTAAAAATTCTCTCTCTCTCCCTCCTCTCTCACTCTCTCTTTAAAAAAAAATAAATAAAATAATGCTTGGTGCATACTAAATATTATGTAAGTGTTAGTTATTTAAGCAGCAGTAATTAATAGAAAATGGAAAGTTAAACCCTGTTCACAAAATCTCAGTGTGAGAACTTTAAAAGAAAATGTCATAAATATTACTGAAGGGCTTAATGACGATGTAAAACAAGTAGAATTATAAGTCAGGTTTAAAATTGAGAAAATAAATATTACAAAGATATTAATTCTCCTTGAATTCTTCTATAAATTCAGTGAAATTCTAATTCAAAATTATCCTCATACAAATTTTTTTTCCATAAAATTTACAAATTCTAAAATTAATCTGAAAAGTTTAAATGGGTAACCATTGTATCCATTAAGAACCACCATCCCAATTTAAAGAACTGAGGATTCTAGATAAAACAAGTTAAAAAAAATAGTGTTAAGTGCATGGCTGCATTAGTAAAAAATAAAAAGAAAATGCTCAGAGTTTTATCAAAATAAAGTAAAACTAAGCCCGAAGGAGAAAGTAAAGCCTGATATTGGGCTCTGCCCTAAGGGTTTCTGCCAATCCAGGATAATCTTGAGCATCCATTTGTATAGCCTTAGGACAAAGGACAGACARAAGCCAAGTAGCCACTCAAGTTGGACTCATATAAAAGTTTGAGTCAAACTGGAAACTAATTAATGGAAACTGCTTCAGTACATACGAATAAACCCAGAATACATAAAAGCTACAACCTCACTATAAGGGTGAACTACAACCTAACTAAACATATTCCTTCTCAGATTGGGGAACCACAAATTTACTATAGCTTTCGACATTGCAAATGAGGAAAAAGAAGAAAAATCATCTCCACTGAAAATTTATAACCACAAACCAACCTTTAAATATGTTTGCAATATTTAGTCCCCAAAACCTCAACCCAGAAATTTGTTTTAAAGTGATGCCTTCAGCCAGACAACTGATGAATGCTCAGAGAGTTTAAAAGGCTGTGGCAGGAGGATAGCTCATTCAAAATCAGCCTCAGCAAATTTGTGAAGCCCTGAACAATTTAGGAAGACCCCATCTCAAAATTTAAAATTAAAAAGGCCTGGGGATTTGACTCAGTGTTTAAAAGCCCCCTGGGTTCAATACCTGGTCCAAAAAATAAATAAAAAACCTAAAGTTAAGCCTTTGGTGCTCACATGGGCAGCACCTATACTAAAATTGAAATTATACAGAGATTAGCATAGCCCCTGAGCAAGAATGACATGCAAATTCATGAAGCATTTAACATTAAAAATAAATAAATAAAGGGACGCTTTCATTTGTGTGTAAGAAGCAAAAAGAAAATCTTCTGTAGAGAAAAACAACTTCAACACAGATCCCAAAGAAAACACATAAATTCTCCACAAAAGAAAGTGATGGGGGAATCAAACACAAGACATAGACTCAACACATACATGCTTGCACAGAATGATAAAGCAGGTTGCCACAAGTGAAAATCAGAACCAAAACGCAAAGATCTGATACCACATAAAATAGATCATAGCCATTGCTGCTGTTGATGTTGCTTGTGCTTACTTGGAGACATGGAAACATGACAAAAGGGGAAAAGAAAGCAGAGATGCCTGCAATGCATCAATAAATGGGGATTAATCTTGTATACTTTGAGAATTCAAGTACTTAGTAATGTAATTAAGACATAGCTCTATTTCAAAGAGATCATAGTCTACCTAAAGACATAACAGTAGGGGCTGGGGATGTGGCTCCAGCGGTAGCGCGCTCGCCTGGCATGCCTGCGGCCCGGGTTTGATCCTCAGCACCACATACCAATAAAGATGTTGTATCCGCCGAAAAATAAAAAATAAGTATTAAAAAAAAAAGTATCTCTCTCTCTCTCTCTCTCTCTCTTAAAAAAAAATAACAGTAAACGGGCCTAAATAACTTACATAAACTGATAATATGAGACGCCCAAAGAGGATCATGAGCCACTTTGGCCTAAAAGGTTCAGAAGCCTTTTTAAGGTGGGACTTAAATTGAACCCAGAAGAAAGAGGTTTGCACAATTTCTTCAAAGTAGACAGATGTTTCAGGAAATATGAGAAATACACAACGGTGGAAATTCTCATGGAGTCTTCAGCAAATAGGGACAGCCCCTTTTACTATCACCTAGTACAGTACTGTCACAAAAAAAAAAGAATGACAGAAAATGGAAGGAAAAAAATTGACAACACCCGGAAATAGACTAGAAAGTGGCAAGATCACAAGTAAATGTAGTGCTGAGGCCAGTTAGTTAGCTTCTCGATTAACTGTTACTTATAAAAATAAATAAATAGTGGAAAAAAATAACCATCAGCTATTCATTCAATCATGTAAATAGGAAATACGTTAGACTGGGAGTCAGAGGAGACCTTAAATTATCTTCCTAGATTTAATACTTGTCATCCTTGAAATTCAAATTATTTGTGCATCCGTTTTTATTTTTTTAAATTGGGGAAAAGGGAGAATTAGTGGATTCCACATTCATCTTTGCAAACCGGAAGGCAAAGACAGACTGTTCGTTCCTCAAGCTGTCAGAAGAGGGCGCTCACGGTGACAGTCGGCATTCCCTTCAGTAGCAGTTGATTCAATTCTCCTCCTCTCGTCCTGAGTTTCATTTCCCAAGAAATCCACAGGATGGCAATAACACTGAACTAAAAGCAAGTTCAGAGTTGAAATTCTAGGAAACATTATTCTCCATGGCCACTGTTTATAAATTTTCCTTTCCCTGTTTTTATGAAGTCATCAAGGCCACAGAAGCTGGTGGAGCAAAAGCCACACACAAAGCATGATCCTGAAGATGATGAGCCCCAGAAGAACCAAGTAGTTCTTACTGAAATACAAAGAAGTCTTCATCATTCTCATGTAACATTTATGAAAAAAAAAAAAATATATATATATATATATATATATATATATATATATGATCAAGTAAGTAATCTAAGGTGCAGAGGTAGTAAGTGATCTAGCCAGAATTCAAGCTTCAGTCTTGGATCAGTGTCCAATGTTCTTTGGACAAGCTGAGAGATCTGAAAAAGACCCATTTGGCCTTCCATAGATGGTCTTCTTCACATCAACCTCCTCCTGGATGCAGGAATAAGACTATTTTACTATTTTTACTATTTTACTATTTTCTTTATACCTGAGAGGAAGCGTAAAATTTTTTATTCAGCCAGGTGTGCTGGTACACACCTGTAATTCCAGTGACTCAGAATACTGAAGCAGGAGGATCACAAAATTAAAAGAAGAAGAAGACAATTGGGAATGTAGCTCCTGATAAAGCGACCCTAGTTTCAATTCCTAGTACCAAAAAAAAAAAAAAAAAGATTTGATTAAATTTTAGCACAGGATAATGTGGATAACTTTCCTTGTTAACCTGTCAATAATAAATAATAATTTGATAGCTGCAGTAATTTTACTTGTTCAGGTATATATCAGGGTTGTTCCCATTTCTTTCCTGGTACTTAAATAGCAACAAGGAGCTGGGGATGGAACTCAGTGGTAGAGCATTTGCCTATTAGGCATGAAGCCTGGATTCAATCCACATCATAATAAATAAATCAATAAGGAAATAAAGAAAGAAACTTTTTTTTCATTAGCTGCAATTTTAATTAAGGCACTTTGAGTTAGAAATAATAGAATTTCAATCAAATTGAGTTAAGGGGGGAAAAGAAGATGGCTTTTCAATGTAATTATGAGACATTTCAAAGACTCTAAAGACAAGAATCTTTTTTAAGTGATGCAGAAGATTAAAATCAAGAACCAGAAAATCATCAGGAATTACAATTCATGCAAGTTGAGCATCCTTAATCCCAAAATCTGAAATTAGAGATGATCCAGAATTCAAAAGTTTTTGAGTGTCAACACAAGTGGAAAATTCCATACCTGATTTCATATGATGAGTCACAGTGAAAACACAATTCAAATATTATATAAAATTACCTTCAGGCTGTATGAATAAGGTATATATGAAACATGAAACAGAAATAAGTTTCATGTTTTGACTTGGCTCTCTTTCCCATTGATTCTATGATCATATGTACACAGATTTCAAAATTTTAAAAAAATCCAAAATCCATTATATTTCTGGCCCAAGCATTTCTTTCTTTTTTTTTTTTTTTTTAACCAGGGATTGAACCAGGGGGACTTAACCACTGAGCTACATCCCCAGCCCTTTTTATTTTTTATTTTGAGACAGAGTTGCTTAGGGCTTCATTTAGTTGATGAGGCAGACCTTGAATTTGTAATCCTCCTTCCTCAGCCTCCCAAACAGCTAGGATTACAGGCATGCCCCACCTTACCCCACCCAAGCATTTTTGATAAGGGTAATTCAGGGGCTGGGGATGTGATAGCGGGCTCGCCTGGCATGCATGCGGCCCAGGTTCCATCCTCAACACCACATACCAACAAAGATGTTGTGTCCGCCAAAAACTAAAAAAATAAATATTAAAAATTTTCTCTCTCTCTCCCACCTCTTTCTTAAAAAAAAAAAGGTAACCCAACCTGTACTTCTGTGTTCTCTGGACTTTTCTCAAGACTTTTCCGGTCTGGACTTTCTAATGACCCTTCTAATGACCTGGGACTTTCTAATAAGCCACTTTCTCTTCCTCTTTAGATCCCACAGCTTCTAAATTGTCATGTTGCCAGCTCTAGTAACTGAAAGACTGACCCACATCTTTGATTCCTTTTTACTTTACTAATCTGTGAGATTTCATCTAGCCTGGCTAAATTCTAGAATAACTAAGTGAAAACAAGAGTGATGATATCAAACAAAGTACATAGATACCCAAGAAATGATTGGATAAATATTTTTCTCAAAAATTAAAAAGTTCCTGGTGCTGTGGCACACACCTGTAATCCCAGCAACTCTGGATGCTGAGACAGGAAGATTGCAAGTTCAAGACCAGCCTTAACTTAGGCCCTAAATAACTTAGTAAGAATCAGTCTCAAAAAAAAAAAAAAAAAAGTAAAAAGTAAAAGATTTGTTTCCTGGAAAATCAGTATGAAATTCTAAATCATTTTGCATGTCCACATCCCCCTTATATTCATGATAACACAACACCATAATGTAGGATGATGATTTTGTTGTTAGTCCAAAATTAGAAAATTTCAGATTTTTACRTATACCTACACCTCACTTGCCTTTCTTGCCTTTACTTATTTTTTTTTTACCATGGTAAATAAAAACAAGAGCACCTTCCCCATTTTGTTTGTTTGTTTTGTTATTGTTTTGGTATCAGGAATGATTGAACCCAGGGGTGCTTAAACCCTGAACTCATCTCCATCTCTCTTTTTCATTTTGAAACAGGGTCTCACTAAGTTGCTGAAGCTGGCTTTGAACTTGCAATCCTCCTTCCTTAGCCTCCTGAACCAGTTGAATTATAGACATGCACCCACCATGCATGGTCATTCCCAGCTTTTAAAAAAATTATTTGAGAAGGTTCTCACTAAGCCACCAAGGCAGCCTCAAACTTGCCATCCTCTCGTGTCAGCCATCTGCATCATTGATGTTACAGATGGACCCTATCCTCCTAGCAGTTTAATCTATTTTGTATGAAATAGATTGAATTTTTAAAAATGTATGCACTGAGAGTTGGGCATGGGGATTCATGCCTGTATTCCCAGTGACTTGGAAGGCTGAGGCAGGAGCATTGCAAATTCCAGGCCAGCCTAGGCAACTTAGGGAGACCCTCAACAACTTAGTGAGACCCTGTCTCAAGATTAAAAAAAAAAAAAAAAAAAGGACTGAGGACATAGTAAAGCACCCTTGGGCTCAAACTCCAGTCCCTTTGCACCCCCGCCCCCCAGCAAATGCAGTGGAAACAAGTATTTTTATTTTTATTTTTTTTTAAATATAAAAAGCATGCAATGAAATTTTGGGTTTATATTCTAACAGTTTCTTTCCTAAAAACAGGAGCTATTTATCAACAAGAACTACATTTAGGTTATTCTTACAGGAGATTTGAGGCATTGATTTAATGCTATGATGGATCTATCAACTAATACAAATGTGTGATCACAAATTCTTTTTAGATCTAGCATTGGATAGAATGCATCAAATACATAATAAACCTGATCACTTTACTAGTTGTAATTTTTTTCTGCCATCAATTTCACAAAGTCTTAATCTAATTTTTCTCTGCCTTTTTTACCATGATAGCCTTCTTTGAAAAATACTATATTTTGACTGAAATTATCCCTTTCATCTTTCTTTTCCTTTGTCCTTCCAGTATCTTATTCCCCGCCCCCCCCCCTTTTTT